GAAAATATGCAGCGTTGCTTGCACCCTCGCGTTTGTCTGTTGCGCTCAGTGAAAATGAGCCGAAATCGGCATCTTTGATTCGATCGATGTTACGTGACTTTTCTCACCGTCTGCTACAGGGGAGGAAATGTTGGCTTCAGCCGCTGATGCAACAGCAGCTCTGCGAGCTTCATCCTCCTGTCTTTGTCTCTGTTCCTCCATGGAAACGCGAAGAGCCTGCAAGAGTCAAGACACTTTAAAAACGGCTGATTATCAATTAAAGAAAAAAAAGAAAAAGTTTCGCTAGATTTTGTAAGTTGTCTCCTACTAAAGCCAGCTCTGGGTCTGCACTGGGATCCACTCCAAACTCAAAGTCACTGGCACCGAGACCCAACACAGCGCCTCCTTCCCCTGCCAGGATGGGCGAGGAGAGCAGGGCATCTGCCAGACTGGGACCTGGAGGTACTGTGACCAGGTGGGAGCCAGCGCCCTCTTTGCCATTAAGTGTGTTGATGAAAGCCGTCAGCTTCTCTGTGTTCATCTCCTGCAGAGGACAGGATGGTTCAGAAAGAGCCACTGGTCCAAACGGGGCCCAACAGCATGAAGCAGAGCGTCTGAAGCTTTAAATTTACCTCCTCGCCAAAGTTAATGATGTCCACATTGACTTTCTCTTTCTTCAGACGCTTTGCCATTTTGACCAACTGCAAGAAAAGCCACTTTAGTTTGAGTGAATGTTTAAGCCTCATTAAACAGCTGCTCAACGATGAACTTCTGAGCAAATCTACACCAATTGTGTAGCTCCCAGGTTTTTTTTGGTTCCTTAGTCAATCTAGCAATGATAAAACACATTCAGGACATATTCAAAGCCCACCATGCTTCTTTAGGCGTCACTATTTATCATAAAATTCTTTTCACCAACTTATCTACTTTCTTTAAGCCACTGGCATAAATAGTGCATCTGAGGCCTTAAACATCTACTAACACATGAATATGGAGAGTTGATGCCAGGACTTAACTCACTTCTTTTTCATTGTCCTCCACTGGGCTGCCCACAAATGCAATAATGCGCATCTTGTGGTTTTTGCCCTGCCTGTGCTTCAGCGCCAGCTGCACAGAGAAAGAAGCCACATCAACAAAACAGAAAAAACACATGAAGAGACTAATTCATGTTTTTGAAAAAGAAGATGTTATAGAAGAAACAATCGCAAGAAATTTTTACTGTGGAAATCCTGAAATGTCCCAAAGAGTGATGCACTGAACCAGTTTTACCTTTAATGGCCCAGTTAATTACTGAAAAAACAAGAATGTTTTCTTGCTTATTAAATCCAACAAACTTACAAAAGAAAAACAAAAAACATTCCACTTTTCTCTACATGTACCTCAGTCGACAGCAGGTTCCTTAATGCTCTTTGAGTTTGATTGCTATCAGTTAAACATTGAGATGCATTGGTGTATAAAATACAAATTCCTTCATTTTCTATTGGATTCAAAACTACAACCTCTACAAAAAAAAAGTCAGCAGCACATTTTTCTCCTTTGTCAATATTTGTTGCATTTAATTGTTGGATTGTATCAATATTTATACAAATGAGTTTGTATACATTACAGATATTACTGAGAAAATCTGATGAGAGTCCAATAAAAATTGTATCTGTATCAAGAAGGAAAAACCTGATTGTAGAATCTCCAGTAATTAACAGGGAAAAAAAGACAAATGTCCTAAATAAAAGACCTGCTGTGCATTAGGAGAGGAGATGCAGCAATGAATCAAATAACTCTTTAGTAAAAAAGCCATTTTATTTCTTATATCGACGTTAAACTATTCTGCGTGTATTGATTTTATTGCACTAGAATAACATGCTATACCTTACTGGTTCCTAGAGAAACACCGTTCAATAAACCAGTTCCAGACTCACATGTGCCACCCTGATGCCAGTGCAGAAACTAATGTTTCCTCGAGGCTGCACCGCATGCAGCTTGGACAGTATCCTCCCTGTGTCTGGAGTCAGGGTGGTCAGCACTTCACAGTTGCTGTACGGGGGGACAGAACAGCGGCTTTGTTAGGTAACGTTTTAAATGTCAGTGCACAAAGTAAAGCACAGTCCCCCTTACTTTGCCATGGTGATGAGGCCCACGTTATTTTCTGGGTTACTGCGGGTCTTGGAGTGACAAACGATATTAACTGCATCCTGCTGAGCCTGCAGCCTGGTGGGCAGAAAGTCTCCATTTCGCATGTACTCACTGTTGTCCACACTGGGTGGGGGGAAAAAAAAGGTAGGTAAAACCATGGACCTTTTTGGAGAAATTGTTTAAATGATACAGATTAGATGAGTAATGGCTACAAACTAATAAGACATGGATAAGTAACACAAAAAAACAAGAAAAATTGTCATTAACACCTCTTAGTAAAGTGTGAAGGGAAAAATGAAGAGACTGTTTTTGGCTGTAGTGTTTCCAACTAATGATTTATTCAAGAGATGTTCCCATTTGATGTTTTGATGATGGCAAAATACTGTTTATACTGTTTAAAATCAAACATAAGCGATCATGCTTCATGTAGGTTTGGATGTGATGAGAAATAATTGAAATTAATTTAATATATATCTGATAATTCCTGCTTTCTTCGTGGCCTTTAAATCAGAAACTCTTTGCTTAGGATTTTTCTTTCCATTTTGTTTAAAGTAGATCTATTTGTTTTTTCTAAGTGTTTCTGACTTTTCCAACCTGATCCAGCACTGTTGACTCCTTTCAGTTCAGTGGAGTAGTGGCTCTTCTTCAGGTTCTAACTTAAGAAACTAATGACTTCCTCAGCAACTATTTGACAAAAGAAGCTATTTTAGTCATTTCCATGTGAAATTTAGTTTATTTGGAATTTATTCATGTCTCAAGGACATCAGTGAGGGTGGAGAACTCGATGATCGGTAAGCTGTGAACTGAGGATGTCATTCAACGATGGAAGGAGACTGCCATCCTGGGGAAAATCTACTCCAGGGGTATTTGAGGGAAGGGTCCAACTGATTGTTGAACTTCATGGCACTACTAGCCAGGGCGCAGTGAAGCAGATCTTACCCTCACTGAACTGCTGAGGGGGTCATAGCAGTACGCCAAAAAAAAAAAAAGTCTGACCATGTCACCGTGAGACTCCATTTCAGTTTCTTCTTTAATGGACAGGAATAAGTCTCTATTGAGGAATCATTAGCTCATAAATCTTCTGCAAAAATCACAAAAGCCTACTGGGGATTTCAATATTTTAGGGCGAGTTGCTCGAACAAGCAAATCGATGTAAAGAAACCAGATTCAAACGTGCTATTCTTGATATTTTGTATTTATGCAACAAATGTTCTAAAAAATATTAACTGTTTGATTTAGTTATGAGTCTTTATTTAATACGGCATACACGTTCCGTTCAAAATATAAATAACATGTCTGTTTGGCAGAGTTAAAGGTAGAAACTCGTCCTTAGAACAATGACAGCGGCTTTTTGGTTTTGTTAGCTAGCTAAAGCTAAACCGTTTCAAAGAAGCATTTTCCTTCACCGACGGAAACAACCTGAACTGTTCAGTTAGGTTATAAAATCACCAGGTGACAACAATATAGACATAAAGATTTTTACCAAACAAGGGACTTGTAAAAAGGCTATATTTGAAATAAAAACGGTAAGCTACTAGTTGTGGCTAAGAGTGACTCAGTGGAGACATAAAACCCAAAACAAAGCGCGTAAACGAGACATTTCTGCGTAACACAAACATTTACGTAAATTATAAACGCGATTTCTTATGCTATAACCTCTTCCAAACTTAGCTAGCAACCAAATTTTTGAATTTATAAACATATTTCAAATTTCTTACCAGACCATAGTACTTTCAAGCACCATCTTGAAGCCGTCTACGTCTCATACGTCAACGTGAAGGCTCCTGGGTAATGAAGTCTCTAACATATTAAACTAAATTCTATCCCTAGAGAGAGACAGCATATCATAAAATACATTTATTCCCAAGCTGATTAACCATCAATGAAACATTCATAAAATAACAGCTTGATTATATTTTACTTTCACAGCAACAACAAACGTTACTTGCATAAAACTCGACATATCTCTGCTGTCTGCAATCTGTTAAAAACTTTTATGAAATCAGAACAGCTAAAGACAAAGACATCTATGAGATCTGAAAGAGATGCTGCTGCAGGCACCTTGTATGATAAAATCAGTGAAAGATGTGAATCAGAAACTGAACTGTTCATAGTTCATGAGTTATTTATGGTTTTCCAACATCTTTAATGAAAGTAAGCAAGTCTGGCTAATAGAGTATAATTAAATGGTGTGGCTCCCTCGTTGAAAAAGGCCACAATCCTGGCTTATTCAGGATTACTTGTATTTGTAATGTTCTTATTAGTAGTAATTTACAGTTATAGTTAGGTGAATCAGACAGCTGCCTTGGTGCTAATTTAGAACTTACATCATATAATGGAAATAGCTCCAGGAAATGCAAAAAAAAAAAAAAAAGAAAAAAGCTGTGCTTATTTTATTGATCAGATGAACTGCAGAATCAATAAATTGAGGCTAACAAGTTGACTACTGGACATATTGGAATGTGAACAGTATTTCTACTAAAGTAAACTACACGTTCTGTTTATTGCATGTAGCTTTTCTGTACCAAAAACCACTTCCCGAGTGTTTATGCTAACATAATAAATTTAAAACATTTGCATTTCAATTTTAAATGTCAGTTGCATTTAAGACAAACTGGAAGTTTGCTCATGAAAATTTGCTTAAATAATGTTCTTTGGGCAAAATGTTTTTCATTCTTCTTTTTCTGCTCATCTTTGCAGTTTCCAGATTGCAGATGGACAGCTGGAGAGCCCTGGAGTTTGTTATCACAGAGAACAGTTTTGTGGAGGAGGAAGCTGAAGTTATGTAACAAAGTCAGACACAAGATCATCTACATTCCATCGCAATCTTAAAACAAGATGGGCTGTAAAATGATTTCCTATTAAAATTAATAACACAATTTAAGCCAACGACAGATTTAGAAAATATGTTTAATCCTTCAAATCAGACATAAAAACATCACCACCACATACTGTAACTGAAAGATGGCAGGAGAACAGGCAGTTCATGTTGTATGAGAAGGCATTTCCGTGACTTATATGTACATATGCACATTTATACACCGTAAAAATATAGTAATTGAAGCATATAGGACAGCCAGCAACACTGGCTCGTAAGCCGTTTGAAACATTCATGTAGAAAAACAATGGAAGAGCCAGAAACATCATGGAGAGAATATTGTATCACAATTTAAACAAGAAATATAAAATGTGAAATTGTCAAATCGTCTCCCTTTATAGGCATTAAAAGCTATAAAGTTCCAGACATCCTTCAGTCAGTTTACAATCATCAACAGTAAATAACCTTTCATCATCTCGGCCTACAACAATCGAACGCGTAAATAAATAAACCCCACAGGGCTGAGAGGTGGCAGATTGCAGTTCGTATTGCATTACTTCAGCTTTGTAGTGTCTACACCTGCCTGCATCCTCAGAGCACCAAAGGATGTTTCTATTGTGCCATAGTGTGGTAGAAAATCTCAGATTTGTTCTTCATCCCGAACCTAACAACCACAGATTTTAAGAAACAGCAAAAAAAAAAAAAAAAAAAAAAAAAAAAAAAAAACAAAACAACAACAAAAAAAACACATTAAACAGTTGTGGAAAACACAATATGAACTTCTTCTCAAATCAGAATCAGACATTTGGAGTGTTAATTTGGTTGCTGTCTGACTCTCAGCCGATGCAACTAAACAGATGTGTTTCAAATGGTTAATATTTAACATTTCAGCATAAATACTTGAAGCACATCATCCACGGAACACAACGGTGGGAAATAGCAGGTCCTAAAGCGCTACCACAGCTGTAGTATATAGAAGTTTTACAGGAATGTGGAATTATCATATGAAATGTCTCAAGACTATAAATTCAACTGTATGATAAAGAAAAACAGTTTAAAAAAATCTACTGGATTCACAATAGATTCAGCATTTCAGAAATGAAATGGTTCAGGAGGAAAACAAACATCCAGTTTCATCATAAACCCTTAAAACACAGGTCACCTCTGTGTTATCATGTAAAAAACACATAAATCCAAGTAGGAGTGGATCACACATTCTTCAACTCAGGCGCACTCTTCATGGGTCCGCTCTGCTTCTCTCTTTGGTGCCATGAATACAAAAGACTTACACCTCCACCCTCAACTCTGTGCATGAACGAACATGACCATTTTGCTTCTCTTGATTAGTTTCTCCTGCTCCCTCACGGCTGCATAGAGCACATGCTTCAGACAATAACAGGAAATGAGACGATGGCAAGTTTTGCTACAGTCACTAGGTAGTAAATCTAATTTCTGCAACAGAAGTCCCTTCTGAAAACTAACATTAACTGCATCAGTAGCTTCATTCATGTTCTAAACATGAATAAACATCATTGTTCCAAACAATAAAGGAAACCAAATTTGTTGTGTACAAACACTAAGGCTTTTAAAATGCATTAATCTTCAGGATTTTTGAATCAGGTTCTTTTGAGGGTTACAAGCAGTAAACGTGACGTATATCAGATAATTTAGTGTCTGATTTCTTGCATCATTAATGAATGTTATTAAAGTAGCGTTCACATAGATGTTTTGATTGAAACCCAGAATATTTTCCCTCAGATTTTCTGGTACTTTGTATTTTATCCTGGCTGTTTGTTGTGTACAAAAACAAAACAAAACAAAAAAAACAACAACATGATTTTTAGCAATAAAGTGAGTACACTTTATATCGCATATAAAGTCATTAAAAAGTTAACGTAATGGAGTAATTGTAAAAAATTCCAGAGGCATTTTGTTGTTGTAAATGCCAACCTTTTGTTTCAGTTCCAATACAGCTAAGGGGATTTTAATGTTTTAATTTTACTTCCTCATCATCCCCTGCTGACAATAACTGTGATCGAGTCAATAAAACTTCATTACAGTCTAAACTGTATCAGAAATTATGAGCTGTAGATGAGCTAACATAATATGACATGAAAAACATACAACTAATTAAAAATGCTTAGGCACACTTCCTCTACAAATTCACACCCAACAAATTCTCATAAAGTCTAGACGAGTCTTTAATATTTTTTAGATTGTAGCTGTTTTAAGACCTTTAAAGAAATCCTCTTTGCTCTTGGATCCTCTCAGACAAGCCCTTAGCTTCAACCTCTCCGACCAACTAATCTGGATTTATACTAAATAAAGATGCCAAGGCAGTTATCTGCTGCAGGCAAGTTATTTACTGCTTGCAACCTTTTAACAGACCCTCATTTCAAAAAGTCCCCCATCAACTCACGGTTAGTAATATTGGTCTAAGACTCACTGTCATTTCTGTAACCAGCAGAAATGGCTCCTGTTTGAAGTCAGGAGAAACAAAAATCAACCGCACTGGCAACTGGTGTTAGTGTTTGCATTAAAATCTGAAACTCTTGTAAACCCTCACAACTGACTGGTTAGTTAGGACATACAAATGGCAGTTTGATGAACATCAGCAGTAGTGATAAGGCAGGTTCTGTGTGCAACTATAGCACTAACCTTCAACAATATCAGCTATACATAAAAAAGTCAAAGAAAAACGCACAAGGCACAGACATGACAGGTAGACAATAACTTAAAAATGACTACAATTCTATATATATATATAAAAAACATTAATTTACCAGCATCTACCATCCAGCCAGGATGCAAACACTTTGCTCTGTAGTCATTCCTACTTCAGCATATCTGGCCACTAGGGGCGCAACAATACATCAGCCTCAATTTTATTACCAATGTTTATATGAGAAACCCACCTTCTCCACCAATCTTATCGATCTCCACAAAGGTGTGAAAATCAACCACTTTCCCATTTTGCTCTGCTGTGAGAGGACTGACTGTCAGACCCGCCCATTAGCCACCCACTGTTACTAACTTAAGAACGTTGTTGCTATATTTAGGAACGTTTAAGAAAATAAAAAATAAAAAAATAATAATAATAATAAAAAAATCGGTATTCTGAATAGGGAGATCAGACTTTTTAAAGATCGGTTGACCAGCAATCGGTGCGACCCTAGTGGCCACATCAGAACTGGGAGGATTTTCAGGTTGTTATAAATGTGGTAAGACCGATTCTACTTCAGAAGAATGTAAAAATACATTCATCAGTGGCAAATGTCTTGATAGTACCACTGAATAACTACAAGAATAATTTAAAACATGAAACTAAACTTATGTCCTCAGGTTTGGTTCGACCTGACCGGCTGCAGCCTCTTGCTCCGATTCCATACAAATACTGTACACAGATAACAATAGGGAAGAAATGCATATGTGATTGTGGAGTCAAGCAGCAAGTGTTGATTGAATGGTTTCTATTAACTCCATTGTCAGTTCAGAGAGTCTTTACTGATCAGAGGTACAGAGGATGTGATGTCGCATATTAAGAGCCCATTTGCTCCCTCATTCCACAGAGGTTTGCCCTTCATGTGCTCTGAGCTCAGTGTGCTTCTGCTGGATTATCTGCACAATCACATCTCTTTTGTCTACAACAGAAAGGAGGGCTTGCTTCATTACAATACACAAGTGACCGGAGCTTTTCTCTGGGACAGCTGTGGACAAACAGCTGTCCAGGCTGTGTGTTCAAACGTGAACACACAGCCTGTGAAGCACTGAAGCCGTCCACTTCTTTTCATTACAGCTCTCCTTGTTGACCACGGAGCGGCTCGAGTCCATATTGAAGGTTGACTAAATAACACAGGTGCTAAGGAGGGGTGTCTTGGACAGATGACTTTCATTCATGTTGATCTTACTTCCAACCACCTCGTCGCATCCAGAAGCGCCTCATCTTCATAGATGTGGCCGGGTTTGTTTGGGTGATTTTTTTTTTTGTTCTTTTTCACTGTGAAATATAATGTGCTGTTAGTAACCTCTTCGTAAGCTATCGCTGCTTTAAGAAAAACGTGGAAAAAACACTAGTTTAAACTTACAAAACAGATGTTAGTCTCTGGGATGATGTCGGAGAGAGAAACTACCTCTTCATTTCCAGACAGGTTGGTTGAATTATCAGCGGCCCCTTCCGCCCCCAAACTGGAACAAAGAGAATGTAATTAATGAGGCGAAATGACTCACACAGGCAAGTGAAAGGCAAAGCACTTCGTATTAACCCTCCACGAGACAGTTTGCTGGCACAAACTGCTCAACTTTCCTTTCTGCAGGCTATGTAGAAATGCGATGGAGGTGGGTACACAACCTGCTATTAGCAGCTGGAAAACTAAACCACTTGTGATGGATGGAGATAAAATCTTTTACTGGATCATTACTACAGCGACTACAACAAACAACATTAAACAAAATGCCACTCCAGCTATTATTATGATTATTCGAGGAGCATAATCTCTCATTAAAATATAGATTTTCTTTATTTGAACATTTATTCAATAAGGGAAAAAAAAATCCCATGTTAAGAAATGTGCTGCTTAAAATCTCCAGTGGCATAAATGTGTTGGCTCTTCTAAACTCTTAAATTGATGAATTTATAGGAAGTTTTCACCAGTAATCCCTTTTCCCCCTGGAGAATCAATGTTAACACGACATAAGAGGAATTTTTTAGGATTCTGTGATGGCACTCAGTTTAACGGAGTCACAGGTTTATTTGGTTTGGTTCAATTTAAAATTACATTTTAAATTGAAATCAAAGTCCAAGAGGCTTTGATTTCCTGCTATGTTTACACAGGGCGAGGTATTTACATGGATTTAAAAGTTTCACATCACATATATGTAATCACTTCCAACCTTTGCCATACTTTGTCCCTAATCTTCGCTGGATAATCTGTTTGCTTTCATGCAATAAACAAACCACGCCAGTAAATCTTTGAAGTGGCAGTCTGTGTACCTGTGGGAGGTTCCTTGATCATGATCTGTGTTTGCCGATTTGTGTACTTCTACTCCAACGGACCTGCAGAGAAAATGTCACTCAGACCAGGAGCAGCTGAAAGAGCGTGAAAGAGCAACGACAGAGAAAAGGTTCTACCGTAGCGGAGGAGAGGCAGAGCCTGCTCCTGTGCTGCCTAGAGACGAGGTGGATAGATTGGCCTCAGCATCAGCCGGATTGTCTGCTGGCGGAGGAGTCCGAGGAACCAGATCTGGTTTGTCTGACTGAACACCTAACAACCAAAGAAAGAACAAACACTCCAACTTCCAAAACCAGTGTAACGGGTATAAATGAATGAGTGGGTAAATTCAGTAGAGACAATAGAGCAACTGTGATAACAACACTGAGGTCTTACCGGTCTCAGCCTCTGACTCTGTGCTTTTAAAATGGCTGTGATAGACTAGTCTGGAGTCACCAGCAGACTGTCCTGCTGTGTGGGAGAGTGGAGTGGGACCCACCAAAGTGGGGGCTCGTCTGAGCCCTCCCTGACCTCCACCGCGACTCTTTTTAGAGGGTGACGGCTTAACTGAAGGAGAGATTGGCCACAAGATTACGAGTCAATATAAACAAAGCAACAACTAAACTTAGGTTTAATAAAACACAAACAGAGATGCTTACGTGGAATTTTCTTGAAAACTGTGTTGCACATAAACTGCTGGAAACGTTCCGCATAGAAACCAGGTCTGTGAACTGAAACGGTGTCCTGAAACGAGAAAAACATAACCCATAATGCAAATAAACACATCAGATTTGACCATTCTGCTACAGCTGTTTTTCTCCAAAGCTCTTCAAAATTATTTTGCAGGATATTTTTAGGTCTAGTCAAATTCAACCAGACTGCAGCCAGGCCCAATCCCCAACCAAGATTCAGTTGTGATAAAGATACATATATCAAATTTTTGTGTCATGTTCCTGTAAGATATTGCTCAATTGTTCACTCTTTGAATGTGTCCCTGTCATTTAGTGACTTGCCTAAAGAAAGGTTCTTGTCGTTGGTACCGTGGGAACAAATCCAAAGTGAGTAACCAGTAAAGCATCTGACCAACTGTGCCAAAACCAACAGCCTTCCAATCAAACAGCAGCTTTTGTGCCAACGGTTTTTCCATAAGGCGATTGGGGAAACCGCACACCAATAGTGATCCAGTTGATTCTGCGAGTGGGCAGTCTGATTTTGTATCACAGTAAAGCCCCGTCTTCCTCTTCTATGGTGGCTCATTTGATGTTGAAAGCTGACCGGTCAAAAGAGGTTCAGAAACTTTGAATTGTTCAATCAGCTTTCCTCTCTCGGACAAACATTATGTATTACGACCAGGTCAGTTAAAGTCTTATGTGTTGGGTTCCTGAGAAATCAATGAACCTTTGATAAATCTTAGATTTAAACAAATTAATATTTTCAACAATTAATTCCCTAGAGATAAAGCTCCCCCTTTAATCTGTAGCAAAGAGTTGTAGACTAGAATTAGTGTTGAAGCTCCTGACTGCAAGGTGTCAGTTTTTCATTATGTTTCTTTTACTTAATTAGGTCATTGGTAAACACATCTTGAAGTGATTCATTAAAATACTGAAGCTTTTATCATTAGCACATAGTTTAATTGCAGTACATCACATTGAGGTTCTTACCCCATCATGGACCAGCGCTTTCCAGGAGTGTTCCAACTTCTTAATAAACCTGAATAACATTACCATAATAAAACTGGTGAGAGCTTTTTAAATATATTAAATGCAGGTCTTGTTCTTAAGAACAAATAATCTATTCATTTAAAAAGAATTCGACACCCACCTGTAGGACTGGAGAATGTCAATAATGCCAATGTAAATGAGTAACCTCTCTCCTTTCACATTGCGAGCAGGAATTCCTCCCACACTGTAAAGTCGGGGTCAGGTCAATGCGTTTCATCATTTCATAACTCCACATTTTACCACATAAGACTAAAAGCTCAGATGTGCTGGTAGCTACACTTACTGGTCTTCTGAATCCAGAGCTCCTTTTCCTCGAGCTTCGCCCTGGATGGACTCCATGGCGGTACAGTACAAACTCTTCTGGGCTTGTGGTCGACGCTGATCAGGAGTCACTGGACCTTCCAGGGCCACGCTGTCCCCTGAATTACCTCCGCTACGCTCACGCTCTCGACTTGCTTGATCCATGTTGTGGATGCCCATCAACAAACTGTAGTCCATGATCTTGAAACTCTGCAGAAGCTGCAGGAAATGAACCAACAGAATGAATTAGCTGCTTATGTGCTCAGTCAAGAAAATTCCCCAAGAGAGGAGAAAATCAGTTAAACAACAGTTGCAAATTGATGAGCTGATGAGCTACGACTGGTAATTCATCTGTTCCTAACAAGCTTCAAATATGATGTAATACGACTTGCCAAACTATGCAGGGCAGAAACTTCCCTGTCTGGTTGTAAAATTAAATAACTTGACATTGTCTTTCCTAGTAGCAGAAAGGAAAAGTAGGACATTGTTAGAAGCATGTAAAATCAATAAAACACTTACTTCTATCAAAGCTAAATTAAAGTCACTATAATGGATATGTTTCACATCGTAGCTGCTCTACAGCAGAGAAAATAAAACTTGTGTTCAAGTTCTTTTTTTAAGGTCCCCAGGATAAAAAAAAAATCATGTCTGGTTGAAAGAGCTGCATTTAAATAGCTGTGTGAAAGTCAAGTCTTAATAAATCCCAACCATTCAAAAAGCTAGTTGCAAGTTACTATGGAACAGGTATTGGTCAGTTACAGGTATCGAGGAATACAGTGGACCCCCAGCTGTTTGCTGCTTTACAAACGTCAACCAATAGCACATCAAGCAGCACTGCGCTGTTATTTCAGCTTCACAAACAGTATTTTCTTCAGAATATATCAGATATAAACTATAGAAAAGAAATCATGAATAGGTGGAATTTTTTTTATGAATAACATGGGAGTCACGTTACACAGAAAATTCAGCAAATTCTGAACAAAGAATAGAAAAAGGTTCACTGCACAAAGTTTAAGTAAACAGCAAAAATGCTACGCTAGAAACAAAATTACTGAATACGAATACCTGGAAAAATGAGAATCTTAGTTTCATTTAAACAATGACTCTTGTTCAAATTAGTCAAAAATGTTAATAAATACCCCAATTAGCTGAGATTGGAACGGGACATGCCTTGCTGGGCAGTCAGGGTTTTTATATTTTTATATATATATATATATATATATATATATATATATATATATATATATATATATATATAAATTAGTGCAAAAAATAAACAAGAAACAGAACAAAACTAAGGAAAAAAAGAAAAGCAGTGGAAAAAGATCCATCTGATAGGACATGTAATCACTACAAAACAAGCAACTCCAGTAATTCATGCTTTGACAAACCAACTATTTTCCACACTGGCATTCAAAGTGAATTATTGGGAAAAACTCATTCAGCACATGAACCCAATAATTGCCCAACATAAATCTTTAGTTCACCAAGGTATAAAATAACTATGTGGGCAATGGAGCTGTCTGTAGTCTCTGTCTGTATAATAATAATGTATTCTGCTGTCAATATGTGAGCTCGGTCAGTATTCTTCAGTGCACAATCCTTGAATAATAATCAGTCAACAAAAACAAGTGTCTCTGTGAGACTCACCAAGCAGTCCCTCTGAATAGTCTTGCATAGGGCATTGTAGTTGTCAGCTTCCAGCAGCAAACCGTCAGGCATGTCCTGGATAAAATCCAGGTCTTTGTAAGTAGGAACAGCCTTTTCTCTTTCCTTAGGAGAGGCCCGTCTCTTGTAGGTGGAGCCCTTCAAGTCGTATTTTAGGTGCATGGGAATGATCCGGGGAAGAAGGTTATTCATCACAACAATGCGGATGTTCTTTCCCCCGGCCTGAACGCAGTACAGTCCATAGAATTTAGGCAGCAGGGTGCGCTTGTTTTGGTTTATATTCTGGAAAAGATTTAAAAAAAAAAATACCTTTAATCTTTTTACACCATGTACAACCCAGATATACCAAATGAGATGTTTTCCCCTTCATATATGCACACATTAAAAAGACCAGTGTCTTTAATGTTTAGCTAATGTTCAGACTGCCACAGGGTCAGCAAGTACCAGAAGAGGCACCTGAATCCAAAATTTAAAAACAACTGGACAACCTGCATTCCTCGAGATAGTAATAATTAATGCAATAATAATAATAATCCCCTGTCCTGTAAACACTGTAAAGACTCACCATGAAATAACCTGGTAAGAGCTTCTGAAGAAATTCTGCCTCTTTGTGTTGAACTGTCTTGATGATAAACTCATCGTCACTAGAAACGTAGAAGATGGATCCACTGGCTCCTGGGTTTGATAACTCGATTAGAGGCTCATTGCACAGGGAATACTATAACAGAGATGAAAATGTCTGTCATTATCTGAAAAACACTTTTAGTCTATACCAAACAATTGTAACAGAGACAAAAACTGTTTTCAAAATGTGGGAGTTTTTTTCTCATACTGCCAATTTTGGAAAAAGTAAAAAAAAAAAAAGGTAAATGATTAATTCAAATATTAAACATATAATTCAGATTTAGCTAAAAGTACTTTCAAACTAAAAGCTAAACAACTATTGAAGAATCGCTGAAGGCTTAAGAAAAGCTGTAGCTGTGAAAAATGGCAGGATGAGCTTTGTTCCAGCACTGACCAGGTAGTCATCTGGCCGAATGCCAAACATTTCTCTGAAGTATCGGAAAGCAATAGGAGCGTAGGTCTTAAAGCGGAAGTCGCTGTAGTGATGGGCAGGGGTCAGGTTACTCCCTTCACTGGAAAACAAATGAGATACGGAGAGATGGCGTCAGATTCAAGCTCCAATAACTTAACAGAATTTAAATAAGAAGGAAAAAAAAAAAAAAAAAGAATTTTTTTTTTTTCATAGATATCTTGCTTAACATTTTTCACCAACCTGGGAAAGAAGATGCTTTCAACCACCACAAAGTCCTGCATGAGAACATCTCGTTCTGCCTTTTGGCTTAGGCTGCCAACTGTGTGAGCAATGCCCAATTGGATTGCTCCCTTTAGGGCAGATGACGTGGTCTAAAGAGGTCAGAAAGGAAAACAGAGTTAGCAAGGGAACAAACAATATTTCACCCCTCTCAGGTCTTATTTTTAAACAGCTATGTACGAGTTTCCAGTCACAGAAACATCAAATATAAATATTTAATATATCTATGGAATTACACAAAGGGTTTTTCTTTTCTAGTCTTGCTCTGTGCTGCGGGAGGCAATAGACAGAATCGCATTAACCTTTTTGTACGTGGTCTCTCCGGTGGTGGTTTCAACACCCCGGTGCCCGATGGTCTTCTTCATACTTTGAGTTGTGCTTGAAGAACCAGGCAACTGTGCAGCAAGAGAAAGAAAAAAAAAATCTGTCTCAGTGAAATGTCTGTGTAAACACAGAGGAGTTAAGGGGTGTAAACTTCAGGACAGACTTATTAAACAATAATTCACAAATTCACAAAGACCTGCAAAGCCATTAGTTAAATAACCAAATAAAGACTTATTTGTCTAACATAGTGTTATTAATAGTTATAACAGGCCACCATTAAAACAGTCATACCACCTTTTGGAGCCGTTAAGCATAAATGTGGTTTACAAAAGTAATGCTGTGGCTCTAATAAAAGACTACAGCTACGCAACATGTTTGTTGTCTGTATTTTAACACCAATAACATTTGGTGTCAGAAGTCTACAGTCTCTGTTGCATCATAAAAGCAGGCTTTATTTTCTTTAACTTTACTTTGAGCTTCATTTGAGTCTTGACGAGATTGTCCAACAAACCAGGTAATTATCTGAAGGAATGATGCAGGAGTTTATTAAACACGTTTTAGCTTCACGTGAAAACAATCAGATATTTCTCCAGGTTGTCTAACTCTCACTAAATCTGTGTTTGTATAACACAGTGGTACGAGAATCAGTATGACCATATCACAATAGTAATGTAGAGACCAGGTACTTGCTGCTATCAGAGTCTCGCATTTTGAGTTTCACTACAAATTTTTAGAAATTTATGCAAAAAAAAAAATCCTAAAAACATGCATAACTTAATGCAACTGATTTTATTTTGTTTTTAAAAAGGAAAAAAAATGCTTTTGCTGCTACACTAATGAACCATTTTCATACATTAAAATTGCACCTTTAAAAAACATTGGCATACTGCATTTTCATGGATAGAAATGGCTGATGTATAGTGATGGTAGCCATATCATGGAATGATTGAATTTTAAATTCATGTCAGGAACTGATATAGACAGGACTGTTAGTTTACTCTCCTGTGCAGTGCATACATTTTCTTACAAAGTCACATTATGTACAAAAGACTAAAACATATTCTGTGAAGAAGCTGCATGTTTTATGATTTGTCTTTTTGCTAAACTCATCAAATCAATATAACTCATCTACATATTTGTAATTGCAGGCATTTTTGGTAGAAAATAATGTGGTAACGCTGTAAAATAAGAAATTCTGAAATAAAAAGAAAAAAAAGAACACTTCCCATCGCAATGATACTTTAAAAATTTACATTTCTCACGACTACTAAACAACTTCTGGCATCCTTACCTCTGCAGGGGCCATTTTCCGAATGCTGCTGGCCCCTAAAAGACACACAAAAAAGTTTGTTTATGACATGCAATCTTTAGAACGACTAAAAACAAACTCAGCCGCTTAAAAGCTTTTGTCATGAAAGAATCCATTAACGGCCGAATATAAAACCCTCTGCTGGTTAATTAGGAGGGCTATTTCCAGTGATGGCTGATGACTATTTGGGTAATGACGAGTCCAGACCTAAATGCGGCCACAGTTACTGACTGCTCCATCTGATACGTCAGATCTATGTGAATTGGAGCTACTTCTCCCCTGTGATGACTGCTCCACATTCATCTGCTCCCGGAGGATGTGTGTCAACATCACTATGACTTCAGAGAAATGACTGCTGCCTACCTTTAGAGTCCTGCAAAACTTGCTTTCATCGCTTAAAGTAACTAATGGCAAATATATTTCAAATTCTTAAAAATTCCCCAAATAAAGCCACTTAGTCAATAAAAGAAGTGTAAAAGCTGTATGTTATAAGTATAAACAAGCTGTATGTTACGCCCAACAACTAGTTAAGATCTGTATGTAGACATATATACTTTAACTAGATATCAGAAGTGAAATCCCAGCACATAATGTTTGTGAGGTCATACAACTTTGTCCTTACATAAACTTGTTTCGCAAACTTACTCCGTCGCCCACTGTTCAATCCCCTGTAACCTGTAACCAATGGCAACATCTACTCGAAAGCTACACAAACGCTGGTCAAAACGTATACAAAAACGATGATGACTGAGAAAATCAGACATTCAAAGCTAGAAAAAAATTATCAAAAATGTGTTCTATCCGATGCACTGTAAGAAGATATTTCAGCAAAACAAGCCAAATCACAGAATACCATGCACCTTGTCTCGGTTATCAAGGACACACTGCAATCCGGCGGGAAACAATGAGCATCAGTCTGCCCACATTCCCCATCATTATGTAAAACACACTGCATCACCAGCGTCAATGCATCTTCTGCTCAAACACACAGAGAATCACTGAATCACACCCATGCCGGTACCTCGCTGCAGAGCTCTCCTCCAGAACTGAGTCCTTATATCTGTGAAGCAGGACACAGTCAGCCTCAACTGGCTCGTTCTTGCGAGTAGGAAGGCAATGCTGATTATATTTAAAAATAAAACACTTTGGGTTTGAAAGGTATAGGAGCAAGCAACCCAACCAGTCAAATGACCAAAACTGCATAAGTATGAAGGGGCAAAATGATGTGCGCCTGCTGAAAACAACTAGATTTCTTGTAGCACTGGGGTGAACGTGGTAACGGTGGTTAGAGTTTGTCCCGCAATCAGTGGGTTGGTGGTTCGATTGCCTCTCCATCGGCCTTTGTTGTTGTGTCCTTGGGCAAGACACTTCCTCCGCCTTGCCTGCTGGTGGTGGTCTGAGGGCCTGATGGCACCACCAGCATGGCAGTCAGACTGCCTTTGGGCACCTGTGGCTACATTACAGTAGTTTGCTACCATGCGTGTGTGTGAAAGATAAAGTGCTATACAAGTACAAATCATTTACCTTTTATTTGCAAAGAGGTCTTGCTATATTTTTGGTAATCTGTGTACATAGCTAGTTTTACTGTTTTTCTCAAATGCCAAAGTGAAATTTATTAATAGTACACAAAGAGGAACCAATTTGAGAAAGGAATTAAACTAACCCAACTGCTTAACAATGGAGTCTGCTCATCAGTGGCAAGCCTAAGGGCAAAAGACAAACCATCTGTTCCTCTGTATCTACTAAAGTCTCTGCCAGCATTGATCACAAGGACCCTGCAGCAAAAGAATAATATAGGACATGCTTTTAACGTCCTTTCCAGCCAATGAGGAGCCAGTTAATGTAGTGTTTCTTGGCCGAAAATAGGAAACAAGGTCAGTGAGTACTGGAAGAGAAACTACATTATGTTACTGTCACTCAAGGTTATGAATCTGTGTGCCTGACAGTTTGCTGCATCTTGTTTTTGAACAGTGTTTGGGACTAAGCCATGTAGGAGCCACATGGAGTGTTTTTAAGACACTATTTTTAATCACAGATTCAAACTGGGTGGATACCAGTTCAGAGTAACTCCACAACACGCAGGGAAAATAACTAACTGGGACTCAGAAAGTCTAACTTCTCATGTCAGAGAGAATGAACCATCATAATCTAATGCCAGCTATGGTTTAAAAACATTTTAGTTACAACTTAGAGAAAACATATTAAATACTTATTCCTTACTTATTTAATTTTAACCGTGTTGTCAAAGCTACTTGTGCTGAAATCAGTGAACCAGGACTTCAAACAGCTGGACAAATAAAAAAAAGGGAGTGAATCCATGTACTAATGGTGAAAGTATGATAAGCATGTGTTGCTAGTTAAAGGGTTGTAGAAAATCAATAATAATCGACATCCATTAGCTGATACACTATGTCAACTATGAAACCTCAAAGAGGAAAAAACGGACCCGGAGGCAGGACGTGACAAATGTAGAGTGGATTTTTCCTTTACCACAGACCGAAAACTAATGAGGAACATGAGGTTTGAATGTGAATGTTTAAATTACGAAAAAACTATTCTTTATTGGTGCTTTATAAGTAGATTTATTATTGAGTTTATCCTTTTGCCGAGGATGCTTCATTACCGTTATAAGGTTAACGTCACCACCGGCTTAGTAAAAATGGTCCTAGATATTTATTATTTTTTTATTATCAAAAACAATACTGCGTCTCTGTATGCAGAAAAAACGGGTTTGAAACAATGGAGGGATATACCGAATACAATAAACACGCTTCGCTCATGTTAATTACCTACGCAGCTAACTAAGCTAGCTATCACTCCGTTCATTTGTTCTGATGAAATCTCCCATGCTAACTGGCTATATGCTAACTCAAAAGGCCATAACTACCTTGTGGAATCATTTTCATAATCGCATAACGCTCCCTCTTTCTGTTTACATCTCAGTTTTCAGAAAACAAAGGAGGAAGATAAATTGACACGCTACCTGTCGGGACTGTTGATCCCGAGTCTGCTGTTTCAGCAGTCGCCATTACGCCTGGACCATCGCAAACTGCAGCTACGGGTGAATTCTGATCCCTGCACACCGGCGCCCCCAGCGGACAGACGTGAAATATATGTTTTATTTTGCTTCGTTAAACCCATGAAAAACAAAAAAAAAAAACCTTTATTAAAGAAATATTTAGTTCATTTGTAGTAACCTCCACAGCTTTGATAAAGTTAGTTTTATTAATGCTAATACTAATAACAATAATGTATTACTATACTAGAAATGTATAATTACTAGATCAGAACATATTATATAAATAAATATATAAAAAATACTCATCTACAAAATATAAAAAATAAATAATAATAATAATAATAATAATAATAATTATTATTATTATTATTATTATTATTATTATTATTATTATTATTATTGATATTAATATTGTGTATGACCACAGCGTTCAATCCTTAATAATATGTGCAGTACTTTAGTTTCTAATTCAGTCTTGCCAACTTTCTACAGTGCAGATAAGAAATTTGAACACAATCAATGCAAGTCAGTGTCACGTTTTTATTAAAATGTTCTCCTTTCAAGGTGGGATGATAACACAACAAATAATATTAATGACTCCAGAAGTTTAATGTGATCTTGTTTTGGTACCCTGTGCAAGAAGCTGTAGAGCTACTTCAGTGATAGACTGCTTGGTGCACAAAGGAGAGTCAGTAGGCTCTTCCTCCCAGCTGTTGTTATACTCTGTAACTATCACTGTGGTATTATATAGAATGAAAGTGATAAGAGACAATTAAGTTTTGGAAATGTTTCTACAGTTCTCACTTTAAGAAAAAGTTCTTCCTAAAGTAGAATCTTTAGGATGAACTGCATTTAGGACTGCAAATAGGTCAATCCCTTCTGGTTAAACTTTCAAGAACACTGCATCAACTGTGATGTGGTGGCAGCATCAAAATGAATCAGCTTCTGACCAGTGGTCAGATATGCAAAAACAATTATGCGTAGACCACGTATTTAAGCTATACACATATTTAAGTCTTCATGTATAATTTGGACCTTGTGTGGATTAGAGAAAATCCAAAATAAATTTAAGCTGCGTGCACCCAATTTTTCTTTTTTCAGTTTCAGAATAATGCCCACTACTTACCCCAATGAGAAATGTATGCAAACTTCTCATCAGCACTTTATGCTACTCATACAATCCAGGATTTAAAATGTCAAGTCACTCACAACAAACCCAAATCAGATTCAAATGTGTTTTTATTAAACTGTCAGATAAAAATTCATATAAAATTCAGTTTGCAACATCGTTTTAAGGTTTCACCAAAACTGCCTTCATCCAAGTTGAATAAATTCAAATATGCACAGAGCAGCAACAAAAAGTAATCAGTGGTACAGCAACAGAGACGAGAGTCTGATTAGAAACTATGCATTAAAAATCATTCAGTTTCATTTGTTCTTGTAGCAATGCTTTTCATGTGATGATAATTTTACACCAGCAATAGATGAAGCTACAAAGTGGTCTACGTTTTTAATATCCCTTCACTATTTGTTTGTGCTCAGTGACTGTAAACCACCTCTGGAGCAAGCTTACAATTTCCAGAAATGGATACTTTCCTGCCAGTGTTATATATGCACTTAAGGGATGGGGCATATTTTCTTCTTCTTCTGGCCCTTCTTAGTCGCTTTGGTGATGGCTTTCATGACATTTTTGCTGAGACACTGTTGAATCTCTTCATGCGAAGTCATCTTGCAGCAGCGGCGAACAACAGGAGAGTGAGACTTGTTTGATGAACACAGAATCTGGGACATTTCTACAAGCTGATTTGATCAAGAGAAAAAGTCCACATGGAAAGCATAAGAAATTCAGGTTTAGATTTTTAATTAACACATAAAAACGTTTTAGCTTGAGTTGTTTTGAACTAATTCCTTTAGATTAGATCCTTCAAACTTACATTTAGCTCAAAACAACTGTTTCTGTCTTGCTCCGGCAGAGGGCAGCATTGGGTCTTCAGTTGAAAACCGACAGGCAATCTGCACACAGGTCACGTTGTTATTGGTACGACCAAATTCTACAGCTAAAAATATATATAATTGAGAAGTTTACTTATCTAAGCAAATTAATTTATTTATTTTTCATTCAAAACACTCATATTTATTTCTTTTTTTTTTCATTAAGGCAAGTATTAAACTTCTGCATTCAGATCATACTATATACATTCGCTATGATTTTAAGCTCAGGTCAGTTTGCTGACTAATCAAGGGGGTACCGCGGCCGTGAAAGCAGCTTTTGGTACTTTTGGCAGTGTGGACAGGTGGCAAGTCCTGAAGGAAAATAAAATCAGCATCTATATAAAGCTTGTCAGAGGAGGGAAGCATGAAAATCTCTTCAAGTTCCTTGTAGGCAGCTGTGCTGACCACGGGGTTGATAAAAACCAACTGGACTAACACCAGAACACGACAAGACTCTGAAAATCATCACTGACAGAGAAACCTTCACACTTGACCTTGTATTTTGTGGTTTCCCTTCGTTCTTTCAAACTTACTCACTCTAAATTACAAATTAAATGAAACGGGTAATAAAATGTACTTCTATTTGAAAAGAGGACTTTGAACCAGGTTAGACACTACTGATGTTGTCTCTGGTGCAGAAGTGGCTTAAGTCAAGGAACCCAATGGTTGTAGTCCATCTTTTGTAATCATTTGTGATTGCTCTCGAAGGCCTGACTCTAGTTGTGAATTTTCCCTAAACTCTTTAATGAATTTTGTTTTATAATCCTCTCAAACCTTGGCAACTCCTATTCCTGGTGCATGTTTTTCTACCACGTTGTTTCCTTCCACTCAACTTTCTACTAATATACTTAGATACGGCACTCTATGAACAACCAGCTTTTTTACCAGTGCCCTCGTGTTTCTTGTGTCCTTGTGGACGGAGTAGATTACTCTCTGGTAGACAACTGGCAAACTAGCGATCTTTACCATGACTGTGGAGGCCATAGCAGAACATTTCTGTACCTATTACATATATCTTTATTAGTTTAACAAAAAATACAATTTTTTGAGAAACACAATTTGGAATTTTTAAACTATGCGTCTGAAAATTTAAATTTACGCTTGGAATAGGTTAATCTGTGCATAAAACCTCTACGACCTTCAGTTTTAGAAAGTAAATTACTAAAATTATTTTACTTTTTGTGATAAATATTTACGATTCGTCAGTATTGATTTTCTGCAATAGTGGAAGAAATATGTTCATGAAAAAATCATAGAAAACCCTCAGAATGTACTGCAGTCTCACCTGTGGTCGATAATCTGGGTATCACACATCTTGTTCAGTGTGGGTTCCTCGGCAGCAGACGTCGTGTTATAAAGTGGATCTGAAGAAAGTGACTGGAAACAACTGTACTGATCATCTGTCTGGCAACACTCCTGCCGACCATTAACCGAGCAGTACCTATTAAGCTCCTCGCGCCACTGAAACAAAACCAGAAATTTCCATCAAAATCATTCAGATGGAATCAGACATATTATGTACATTGAAAGCTTCTTCTTGTACCTTGAGCTCAGCACAGTTGAGCGCTCCCTTCTTCTTTTTGCAGCACTGCTTGAATCTCTTTTCCAGGCGGTTGATGGTCTTCACCTGACGGGCCAGCAGCTCGTAGCCTGAGCGCGGCAGACACTTGGTTGTGTAGAGAGGCCGGCGTTTCCGGTTGCCACACAGTGACTCAATGTTGTCTGCTGTAGGCCTTCCAGGAGGAAAGTTGATGTCGATTTTTGGGGAAGTATGTGCGTTGATTTCTGGCTTTTCTCCACCTAATGCTCTGATACTAGATGGACTCATCCGGATCCTGCAATGCAAGTGGCACAAATCCAAATATTTCTTCATTCAAGCTATATAAAGTTCATAAAACAGAGAACTGTGTTTTGCAATTTGTCTCACTTCCCTTTCTGCCATATGACTTATTATTCCTAGAGACTTCTCGTTTAAGTTACCTGATGAGGCAGATGTTATGGTGTGAGCTTTAGTGGATAACTTATCATTTGGCACAACTTTCAGAATGTTTTTTTCTTAGACACTTAGTTGCATTACTTCTACAGGCTGCAATCACACCAAAATGAGGTTTTCTAGATCTAACGGCCTAAATAAACATTTTGTCAGATTACAACCACAAACATTAATATGCTTTATAGGCCAACACAGCGTAGTACATATTTGTGAAGCAGAAGAAAAACGATACCAGGCAAAGAAATCAGCAGCAGAAAATCTCCATACAGCAGTCAAAAGGATCATGGTAACTCTGGAGAAGCTGCAAAGACTTACAGGGCACTGTCAGCAGGAGAATCATTAGTTTACCTTCACTTATTTATTTTTAAAAGAAAAGGCCATTGTTGAAAGAAAGCCATAAGGGCATGTGGAACAAGGTGATCTGGTCAGATGAGAGCAAATTTGAACTGCTTAACATGAATGCAAAAGGTTATGTTTTTGTTTCAGCACAAAACCCATGCCTCTCTGCATTTTGAATCTAGTTCTCTAGACAAATGTGTTGAGTTTAAGTGTTGCAGCAAAATGTGGTTCTACAGGGGATTGACTCAGGGGATATGAATACAAATGCATACCACATTTGGATGTTCATTTCTAAAAAAAAAAAAAAAGAAGAAAAATCAACCAATAAATCCATTTCCTACTTTTACTAAAAATCAAACTGAAGTTTGTGGTTATAAGGTGATAAAATGTGAAAAATGTACAGTAGGTGGCATTCCTGTTGACCGACCTTGGGCAGTTGTTTAGGTTGAAGTGGAAGTTTTCTGAAGAGCCAATCTCCTCCACAGGTAACTCCTGTGATGGATTATAGTTGGGATTTTGAGCGTCATCATTGAAACAGCTCAGTCTGCTCATTCCTCTCTGCCTGCAGCATTCATAGAGCCGATCTTTCACAGACGAATCCTCCTCACAGAACAGCTGAACTGATTGCTCCCACTGGAGAAAGCACAGACAAAATACTGAATGCCGACATGCTGTAAGAAGCAAATGCTAACGGAAAATCCGC